ACTCATTTGCTCGGATGGACTTTGTAGGTGATCTGCGTGGAGAATACAGTGACGTGGTTTGTCCGATGATGGGCCGATGGCTAGATCCTCCGAGTCAACGTCTGTCTAGGGAGTAGATACAAGAATTAAAGTATCAGGCTATGTTGCCCTGGAGCTACAACGCAAGAGTCACGTTTTGTTCACCAGCATAACAAGATGTTGTTTTCATCCTACAGTTTGCTGCTCCTCCTGCCGGTGGCGATCTACTCGCTTTACAGGCTATTGAGGATAGGGAGACGCCATCCTCGCATGCCTCCAGGACCACCAACTGTTCCGGTGTTGGGCAATGCTCTCCAAATCCCTACAACTGGGTTGGGCAAGAAGTGAGTTGCAAGGTAGTTTTTCCATTTTAAAGATTTGTTCTAACTATCATAGATTTAAAGAATGGGCCGACACGTACGGGCCTATCTTTTCGCTGACCATCGGCCCGACGAAAATCGTCGTGCTGTGTGACCGGAGAGCGGCCAACCAGCTGCTGGACAAGAGAGGGAGCATCTACTCCGACAGGCCCTTTAACTACGTCTCTAACTATGTCACCCATGGCGATCATTTGACCCTAGAATGCCAGACGCCGTCCTGGAGAGAGAAACGTTCTGTTGTCACGCGTAATCTGAATCCAAAGAGTCTGGATGAGAAGCATTTCCGAATTCAAGAGGCTGAGTCAGAAACCCCCCAGACAACTCCCGCCTCCATGCTCTAGAGCGCAGCAAGCTGACTTGGAGAGGTCCTCAGAGCGGTCATATTTATGAACAACCTCTTAAAGGCTCCAGATCGGATCTTTGATTATGTCCGACTATATACTGTCTCCGTGGCGAGCAGCATTATCTGGGGCCAGCGAGTGGCGAGTCTGGACTCTTTCTGGTACAAGGATTTCTACGAACTGATGAACTTGGTCGGTGGCCTTCAGTCCTTTCGCAAATGTCAATGATGAATTTTACTAACCGGATCTTCACCTATAGTGGCTGGAGACACAAGAGCCCGGAGCGAATCCACCGATCGACGAATTTCCCATCCTAAAATATCTCCCTGGCTATTGGAAAAGGCGAGCAAATAAATGCCGTGCCATGATGGATGAAATGTGGGACAAAGCCCGAGCCATGGTCGACGAGCGAAGAGCCAAGGGCATCCGGCGAGACTGTTTTATTGATGACAAACTAGATGAATACAGCACCAAGGGTTGGCCCATGTCACAGCACGCGTTTAATAACCTCTTTGGTGAACTGCTTGAGGCTGGGGCAGACACAACTGCCAATCAAATCCTGACTCTTATTTTAGCATTGGCTAAAAACCCTGAGATACAGAAACGAGCACAGAAGGAAATTGATGCGGTTTGTGGCACCCAGCGGGCTCCTCTGTTCTCGGACTTTGACCGTCTCCCTTACATCAACTGTATTGTCAAGGAAGGAATGAGATGGAGGCCGACGTATGTTTTTCTGCCTTCCAGATATAGCCGGACACTTATGACAGAAGTTCTGTCTAATTAATCCACCAGAGCTTCTACCGGTCTGCCGCACATGGTCACCCAAGGTTAGAAGCCTTTTGCTCTTTCTTTCGTGACTTAAGACAGTTCATGAACGCTAACCCAAATCTGCTCCACACAGACGACGAATACGAGGGCATGCTGATTCCAAAGGGCTCAATTGTTTTCCTTGGGATCTGGGCCATGCATCACAACGAGAAAATATACCCCGACCACGACGAGTTCAACCCTGATCGGTTCCTGAACCATCCAAAACTTGCCAATGAGTATGCCGTCAGTCCTGACTACAATAACCGAGATAAGTTTACCCCTCTCTCTCCCACATGACGCTGCTTCAGGGGGTTCTAACTGTGGTAATTACATCACTACGGCTACGGCGGCGGCCGTCGAATGTGTCCAGGTATCCACCTCGCCGAGCGGAATATGTGGCGGATTACCGCGAAGCTGCTGTGGGCGTTCGATATCTCTGAGCCAGTCGATCCGGTCTCGGGGAATGTCATTCCACTGGATGTCAATGCATACAATTCCGCTATCCTGCTGTGTCCGTTGCCGTTTACCGTCAGGGTAACTCCGCGGAGCAAGGAGCATTTGGCTTGTATTCAGAGAGAGTTGGATGGTGCCTTGAAGTTCATGTCCCAGTGGGAGTGAAAATCAGACCCCTTTTGAAATTTGGGCGATAGGGTCAATATCAATATACAGGTTTTTATTTTTGCGGAGCGTAGCGAAGCAATGTATTTACTGGCAAAACTGTAAAAAAAAAAGACCACACTGCTGATTGGTTGGCGCTCTGGCTTCCAATTGGGTGCAAATTCTGGCGATCTTATTAGTTAGCTTTTTAAATGACAAAACATGCGACTTCCATCTGTTTTCTGCTTAGTGTTACAATTTAGGTATATACCTAGGTAACTGGCCCCGCAGGGAAGGGGGTTCTACGAGGTCTTCCCCCTAGAATGTTTTAGTGTCAGCGATGGAAGGCTGAACTCAGTAAGAGAAGGCTCGTATACAGACAGTATGGCTTTGATATTGACTAGACGAGGTCGCTCAGGGGGAGAGAAAGGAGTGCAGCCCCTAAGTGGGAGAAAATCCTATATAGGTGGCTTAGTGCCGGCGCAGGCGCTGATTAATGGCCAGCTGACTAAGCATATGGAGGGGGCTTTGCAGGCCTACTTGCTACGCAAGGTCTTAGGTCGTTTGCGCCCTACGAGGTATAATATACAGGTTTTATATATATATATATATATGTCTGGCTGTTTGAGATGTAGCGCGGTTAGACATATATGACAATCAAGTACGTGTATAATTGTGTTCAATTAAAACCTACCGTGGGTGTATTCGGGATACCCCACTCTCACCAAGCGCAGGTGCGGGGAACACTATTGAAGTCGGACCAATTCCTTAGTTAATTGATCTTTCAATTGTCCGAAGTCACTCCGTTGCTGGTGTCGATGTCAACCCCGCAAATCTCTCCTTTTACCAAGCTCGGTTAGAGTTTGAGTCACACGACGGTTTCTAGGGTTTTCTTCTGTTGTTGCTCATTCTTTGACAGCTCTGTGAGCTCTAAGAACGGCTTGATTCTCCTAACTAGGTGCGCGCAGGCGCTGGTGGGGTGGCCCATGCGAGCCGAAGATCTGCCTGGAGCCTCAGGCGCCAACATTCTTTATGCTAAATGCATGCATGCTGCATGGCAGGATAAATCCTAGCGATGTCATCTACATTCGAGTACAGTAAATACATACAACAGCCACTGAGGGGACACTGAAGAGCAACCGCTAGCGTCCCTATAATGGGATGCCCACCGTAAAGCCACCATCAACCGCGATGTTCACTCCTGTCACCCACTGCGCGTCATCCGAACACAGAAAAACGACCACTTTAGCAATGTCCGACGGCTCTCCCAGCCGCGGCCACGGTGTGCTCTTTCTCATTTCCGCAATGATCTTCGGGTCGTTGAAGTTGGTGCTAGATAAGGCTGTTCTCACGACGCCAGGGCACACAGCATTGACGTTGATGTAGTCCTTCGCGTGATCAAGCGCCACGTTGCGCGTCAGCATCGACAAGGCGGCTTTACTAGCCGCATAGGTTGCTTCGCCTCCGATGGCCGTGATACCCGCCGATGAGGAGATATTGACGATGCGCCCGCGAGAGCCAGACTCGTCAACGGGTTGTTTGAGGAATTGCTTGATGGCCTGTCTCATTGCTGTCGCGGGACCCTTACTGTTGATGCTCAGCATCGCGTCCCACATTTCCTCTGTCTCTTTGACGAATTCTCGCAGCGGTAGCCAGAGGCCGGCGTTGTTGACGAGGATGTTGAGCTTTCCGTATTGCTATATCCATATGTTGTCCATGTTAATAACCAACTCTTAAGAAATTGTAGAAAATGTAAGTGAGCCAGCCTATGGCCAAGCTGACCTCAACAGCAAAGTTCACGAGGGCAATGACCTCGTCGGTCTTGCCCATGTCGCATTTCTGGAAAACACTCCGCCCGCCATTCTGAATGATGACCTCGTGTGTAGGGATGTGCTTGTCGGGCTCGAACCCTTTCGCGGATGCTTCTGGTCGGAGATCGGAGCACACCACGGACGCGCCCTCTTGGGCTAGAGCAAGGGCAATGGCTCGGCCCATGCCAGATGACGAGCCGGTGACGATTGCCACACGGCCGTGAAGCCTTCCTGAGCCGTCGTTTTTGTATAGTGTAGACATTGGAGTAAAAGTGACCGAGTTCACGATTCTGGGAAAGGGGAGAAGAGGCGGGGTTAGAGAAGGGGCAAGGAGGATTATGGAAACGACTTTCCAACGGCGTTTATTTTCATGCAGATAGCTTCCATCCACTCCATAACACCATGTCCCTAACCTTTTATGCATAGCAGGTAGCGGATAACTCGGCTTAGGCTTCACGGAACAATTGCGTAGCAACTGGTGATGATCCGAAAACGTGCCGAACCCCAAACTTCGTTAGAGCTGTCCAACTCCGCAATTGTTTTATCACGTAGTAGCCGTTGGCTTAGACTCGAATATCTTCAGGATCTCTTTTATCAATTGACGCAATCAACATTCGGGCACGAGAATTGAATCTGTTGGAACGTCAACCACGAAAGATGCAGAGCAAGAAAGTCATCCAACTGATTATCTTTCCTCACCGGCCCATCCACGCCGATAAAGAGCTGGATGCCGATATCGATGGGCCACTTCAACTTCTCTTGAGGTAACGAATATCATTGTGTAGTACTATCAGGTCTCGAAAACAAGCACTGACCATTTTATGCCCGAAACAGCGCAAAAGGCCTCCTTGCCGCCTACCGAGGCCGCAAATTTGAAGAACGATTCACGAGAGTCTATCTCCTTGTTTGGGACAGTCTCGCTTCCAGCCATGGATTTTTCACGTCAGCCGCGTATGACAAATTCAACACGCACATCCAGCCCGCGCTGAAGGGTCGCAAGATCACCTGGACGCAGCATGCGGAGATTAACGCCTCCCCGCTGAGTGACACTCAACACTTTGATAGTATCCTGTCTTCGCCTGCCATTGAAGTCGCGTGGACGAAAGTGGTCGAGGGGAAGGTTTCCGGTTACTACGAACAGTTTGATAAGGTCGTCCGGCCCATCCTGAACAATGAACCTGGATGCGATGGCTTTTTTATTAGCCCCCACTTGGAGAACCCGCAGAATCAGATCCTGCTGATTAACTGGAAGAGTGTTGACGTAGGTCCACCTATTTCCTTATGTTATCTCCGTTTAGCCCATTTTGGGAATTTGTGTGCGTGAAGACAGATTAGTAATAAATCAATAACAGGCTCACCACGTCGACTTCGAGAACAAGGATACTTTCAAGCAGTGCATTGATGCACTTTATGACTATTACGGCGAATTTGTGGTTCCGTGGCATATTGTCGAGCTGAAGAAGATCTTCGGATAAAAAGGTTCGGAAAGATTGTTGACCCTTTTTTTTTGAATAAGGAAACAACATAGCTTAGCAGTGAATTAAGCGCGGAATGGGAGCTTCTGCATAGTGAAGCTATCACGAAGTAGGGTCTATGCTTGATGGCTAGTAGACGGAGTAGCAGTTCATGGACTTCGTTCTAGGGGCGATGCCGTGGAATATAGGGATCGACATGATCACAGTCTTCAAATGCTTTACACTCAAATTCTAGTTCAATTTTTGTTCTATAGGTTGCCAGGTGTAGTCGGGAGAGTTTTTAATTAGTCGCTGGAGATCCTCTTAACAAAATAAGTAAGGGAACATGTGCAGTCTACTGCGAGAACAGGGACTCAATTCATATAGAAGTTTTTTTTTTCTGCAAAACAATTGGGACTTTGACTTTCCATTTTAGGCCCGGGCCGGTACTGCTGTTTGCTCACTGGGCAGACCTATAAAGCATGGGGTGAGCTATCTCAGCTCATATTCTTTATGGTCAGCTAGAATATCTAGTTTGAAGACGAAGAAATTTCTATAACAGTACAATTATTAATAAGATAAAACAGTGAACCGCTAGATAATACTAATAGCAGAAAATATAAGTCAGTAAATGCAACAATATACATCCTATACATACAATGCAGGTTATATAACAACAACTGAGTCAAACAGAAGAACATTTGAGTCTTCAAATAGTTGATGGAGTGGAGCAAAAATACCCGACTATCTAGATACTTCTTGACAAGTTGTAGATAGCTTCAAAAATTCTATGATACAAACGCCTATAGAAATTGTGTTAACAACGACAACAAAAAAAAAGAAAAGAAAAGAAAAACGACAATCTCCCATAGGATATCTCTAGTTAATAAGTGAAGAGCATGTGTTGACCGAATACCAGTTCCAACTAATCACAATCTCCAAACAATTTTAAACGCCACACTGACCAAAATCTTTTTTTGTTGGTGGTTCAACCTTTAGACATAGGGAAAAAGTTAGAATAAGAGAAATAGGAAACGTTGATGTTTTACCCTCTTCCTCCATTTTTGGGGACCAAATCTCATTCTTCATATCTCTTCTGCCGTTTTTCCGCTTGTTGAGCCTGCGCTGTTTGATGAAGTTCTTGATGGTCCTGTTGTTTTCTCTTTTGGTCTTCCCTTTGCTTTCTTCTCACCCCTGCCTCCTTCAGACTCTTACGTTTATTGCACGCCTAAAATAAAGCTCTGTCTTTTCGATAATCTTCAAGCGAATCCCTCAATTGACGCTCCAGTGCTTCCAGAGGTAGCTTGTCTTCAAGTTCGCAAAATTTCTGACAAAAATTTTTGCTGAGGGACCTAGTGCTGTGAAAGGTTTTGATAACCTTGCCTTCTTGAAAAGGTTTGCTGAGGGAGAATACATAAGTCCATAAAGAAGGGGGGAGTTGTGTTGAGTCTGGATGGCATGTTTCTCTGGTACAGAACCACATCTCAGCCGTAAAGGTTCCCACGAGTAAACAGTTTCCATGATCCTGATCCCACCTAACAATATGAGCAGCAAGGGCATTATTAGTCTTGAAACATTGAAGAATCTCTGGGTCTGATAAGCCCCAACACAAATCTTCTTCTTTGTTGTTGTTTTCACCACTTTGCTCCTTAATGTCTATTGCAATAACCAGCTCAGTGATGTTGTCGGTTCCATACAACAAGGCCTTTGCATCTTCGAGCAGATCTTTCCTGGTGGATGAGAAAGCAACTTCAAGAGCTATCAAGGGAAGAAAGGATTCATTCTCTGTGATAGAACTGTCAGGCGCCTTAAGACTGCCTTCATATTTGCCGCTGGTAAGGCAGAATGCTAGTTGAACAAGTTAGTAACTATGTTGGATTAATCATATTATCCTGGCATCTGTTACTCACTTTTGTCCTGATAGATTGTTAGATTCACACTATCTTCCTCTTGAACCTTGCCCACTACCTCTTTAAACCAGTCACTTATGACATTAACTGTCTTTCCATGCACAGGGCCTTGTCGTGCCTCAATAATGATGTTTTCAAGGTGGGCATCATATTCAATGCCGCCCAGGTCGTTTTTGTTGCTCCAAATTATAAATTCCTCAAATTTAACCTTAGGAGTTCTATTTAGTCTGAAATCTTCCCTTGACCTGAGATTATTTGTCACATACCTTGAATTTGTCAATTACCATCCTTCCAACAATTGCATTTTGCAGAGCCTCCACAGTATCACTCTTCAGGTTCTGAATTGATTCAACCCCTTCAAGGATGTGATTGATGACATCCTGCTGAGGATCCATTCTGCATACCTGCAAAAGTTCTTCGGTCTTAGGCCTTGCTTGTTTGCACTGGTCATGACCAAGGAGAGCAGCCCCGTCAGCCTTTATCAGTTTGTCTGAGGGTTCAGACGCGGGATTGGTCTTTGTGCCAGAGAGAGGGGCCTGAGGAATTGGTTTCATGATGGACTTGAAAGTGCTTTGGCGCTTGACAAGGGTAGGTGGCAGGGCCCTTGGCGCATGACTCGACTGCTGGCCATTCTCACGAGTCGACAGAAATGCAGGAGGTAAAAGGGAGAGAGTTTTTGTGTCACCAATGACCTCTGTCATTATCCCTTGGCTGTTACTATGAGGGGTCTAGAACCTTGGTCAAAGATGCCAATATGATGAATATAAGCCTGGGGATTTGTTCCGCAACTGATGAAAAAGAGGAATCTATACCATTGGCCTTCTATAGCAGAGCCTATGATGGCAAGTAATAGATGGGTGAGGTTATATATCTTGTAATCATACTGCTCTTGTCTCTCTTCTTTTATTTATCTTACTGGTCTGTGTATACCGATAGAAAGCTTCTAAGCCTGGGGAGAGCTGCATATGAGACAGAGAGCCTGTTTGAAGGCCTTTTTTTTTGTTTTCCAAAAGAAGAAACAACTCTACAATTACAAAAATAAAGAAGACAGTGGTCATGGAACAAAGACTGTCTTGAACCAATTTTCTCACTACACCGGTCAACATCTGCCGTCCATGTATCCACATTGAATAAAGAAACGGTCCTCTTTATTCAAAAGCCCTGTGACCTATAGGTAGGATTCCCAGCATCCCTCCCAAAAAAAAGAAAGAAACCTGGTCTGGTCCTGGAACTAAATCAAGACATTGGGTGTGTAATAAGGTGCCGCTTCAGAGTCACATCCTCAAAATCAAGAGTTCCATGGCTGGTCTAATGCCAGCTTCTTGAGCATTCATTTACAACTTTGCCTCCAACTTGCGGTGTATGAAGGACTCGGCCGTCTGAGGCCCTTCTAATGCTCCCACCCTTCTCCCTTCCCGGTTCCAACCCGTCTCATCAAATTTCGTAGGGAAGCTAGCGAGGAAAGGAGATTATAGGCTGGGAAGGCGACGATAATATAACTTCAATAGATACGCGTAATACAGATAACTAAATCCCAACATATATACAAAAGAAACCCGCGACGTAATATAGAATAGAGCTATCCCTGCTTACCACGCCCGTGTATACCTAGCGAAAAGCCTCTCAGTAGCTCATTCCCTTCCCATTGTCGTTTAAAGAAGTTAATCACCATGCGGAACCATGGTTGAATATCATAGAAATCCTTGCCCGATGCCCCTGTCGGAGGGCTTTCTCTCCTCAACCATTCCCCCAGTATCCCCGACAATCCTACGCTATGGAAAGTTGGTATACAAAGCGCTAGCCTCGGTTTCCCGCTTCCCCGTAGCAGATCATGTCGGCTCAAGCCTGTCTCCACATCAATCCAACCCACCCTAGAGCATGACAAGTTGGCAGCACTGGCTTTCGCAGCGTGGCGCGGCAGTTGCCTCAGGAGCCCAAGCTCAGCCAGGTGCGACATAAACCGAAGATAATCCATTATCTTCCTTCATACTTCTGAAACTTGGAAAGCATAAGCCAACACATTTAGTGTTACAGCCTCAACTCACTGTTATATTCTGACCGTATCTGCTCCAGGAAAGAGTTTGAATCTAATTTGCAAGGCTAACAACAGCTCAAGGCTAACAGACGACAATCGCTCTCTCCGATATGTAAAAATAGTGTCAATAGACAAGAACAAAACTGTGTATGAAATTTCTGGCAATGGTAGGTTAACTAGGCCAATTATTGAAGGGATGAAAATCCCCAAGATACGCTGAAAGCAAGACAGCATACAATGGGAATCCTGAGGGAATGACTTATGTGTTCCTAGTCGATCTCCACGCCTGCCTCGTGGCTGGGCTGTGAAGAGCGGCTGGCGGAAGTGAGGCTAACATGGAGGCACCTGACATGTTCACAGCTACAGCAAGTGTCATGTTGGTAATCAGGCTGCGAAAGCCGATAATATGATCAACAAAACGGTATTAATTGTTCTCTATATTCTTTGGAGGGCTCTAGGTCACGCAACATTAGTGATGGGGATTATACCGGGGAGTTCCAACACTTAGATCAGCAATCGTCCTTTGCCAAGTCACCAAGCCACCTGCAATAATCTTATACCTCTATTGCGTTATCTTATCCTGTGTTCGCACACGTACTGCAAGGAGGTATTAGATGGTCACATCGAGTGGAAGAACTGCGCGGCGGTTGTTTATAAGGTCTGTTATTTTACGGAAACCCAAGGGAATAAATGCTGGATGTAAGATTTGGAGGAAGAAATTGATCTGTTGATAGTCTTGCACCAGAAGCATTTTTTCTGAGATCAAGTTAGGGTCTTTCTTTTGAACTAGAATCGACAGGCGCCGGTGATTATTATTTGTTGGATCCGCTAAAGACGCTCTTTCAGCTATCTATAAATACAAAAAGAACCCTGCAGGCAAAGTTCTTCTGTCTCTTTCGGAAACTCTCATTTTCAGTTGCCGTTTCGCAGTTAAGTTATAGCATTACATAGGGGAGATGACCTTCCAGCTCGTCGCCAATGTCCAACTCGAAAAACGGCTGCTCACAGCGGAGGAGTTGCGAGAGATGTGGGGGCTAGATGCCGTTCAGATGCCGAAAACCATTCCAGTCACAGAGTTACACTGGCAATACTGTCTAGGCAAAGTGCTGTGGTGTATCTTCGAAGGCGAGGGTGATGCAGACATCATCCTGGGCCGGTCCCTCCAGATCGAGGCAGAACGAAGATTCCCTGAGTTTCATCACACGCCAGAACCGCTCCGTGACCTAATCAAACATTGTACCGCTGGAGCTCGCGAATGGAAGGATGGGCCGATGGGGATCGTCCGTCGAGGAGGGAAAGTCTATCCACTCGGTCGTTCCGGTGTCAATGGCGAACCGGTGGCCACGTTGGAAGAAACGAAACAAGCCATTCAGCCGTTCTGGCAGCGTGAGGTGACTAAAGCAGAGCAGTTTGTCCTGGCGAAAATAGCATACGACACGGGAACTGCCCGCGAGACCGATGTGGAACTACTAGATTATCTAAGACGGCCAACGCTGAGGGAAGTACTGGATACTTTGAATGGATTTTCCTTGCCAGCATTGTAAAGTGGCAGGGGCATGGTGAATGGAAAACTCTTCAAGATTGTCGGCTTCGGTTTGCTTACTTGTCTCATCGTGTTTCCTTTCTATCTAAACTCTACTGCTGCCCATTCAAAAATCTGGAACTTTTTTTTCTTTTACAAAACCGCGACCGAGGTTCCTGTTTGATCGTTCAAAGTAACATTATCATGATAGGTAAGGATAGCCGTTAAGGATGTTAATTCCATGTCAAGAGCGGTAAAACTAGCATTGGAAACTTGCTAGTCAGAAGGGAAGGAGAGTGGGAGAAAGCACTGAGAGATCAAAGAAAATGACTCGACTCCGAGGTTGCCGGCATGAACACGACTCAAAACTGGCATACATGGACCAACAGAAAGAGAAGAATGACCACCAAGGCCCCTGATCATTATCCGTGACTACTGACTGTCAAACCTAACCGCAACTCGTGGAAAATACCACCACAGGAGGTTGAGGAGGAGGGCTATTAGGCTCTGGGCTATCACGCTCTGAGTCAGGAGAGTCTCGCTCCATCCCAAACGGGTCATGATCCCAATAATTGCGAACCTCACGGAGTGGCGCAAATATAGGATCCCACGGCAGCCACAGAGATTTTGGCAAGTCCCATGATTTCTCCGGGTTATGCAGCCACAGGCGCATCAGGTAGCGTTTGCTGTCGGCGCTGTCGGTGAATGACTTTCGACTGTGCAGGATGGCAAAGTTGTTCAGGAACAACATGTCTCCAGCACGTAGATCGATCTCAAGGGAGTTCAGCCAGTTTGCATTATTCTTGAATGGAGTGGAGTGAAGAATCTTTCTTCGCTCGTTTTCAGTACACCTACGTATCATGCACCCAGACGTGGTTCTCTTCCGTACCATGGTTGATCCCCTCACTTCCAAGCCCTACAAGATGCTGGATCCGGATTTCACCATCCTGAACCCGATCAGGTCCTGGAACAGCTCCAACGTCATTGAGCTCACTCAGGGATACGGGGCACCTCTACAACTCTGTCCACAGCTTTTCTCCAGCAAATTTGGAATCGGATAATATACCTCCATCTGCGCAGAGTATGTTCAAGCATCCTTATGGGCTAGTCAACCTCGACGAGGCCGAGCAAGAAATCCGACAATTTGTCTCGAAGAGGCTTCGTGACTACTTCACTCAAAAAAGTGGATCAGTCAGAGCCGATTACCACGCTTATCTTCAAGATGGCGTTTACGATCAGGAATCAAGTGAATGTTGGTTTTTCTTTTCTTTATTTCTCTTTTTTCTTTTTTTGCTCTTGGCCCTATGCGAATGACTTGACCACCTCCCGACACCATCGAGTAGACAAATCTCCTCCAAGACGTCCTTCAATTATGGGTCACTGCACGCTTCATTGAAGGCGGCTGGCGTTTTACCGGAACAGAGACACTTGGCCTCGCAGCAGACGGTGCAGGCAATATCCCACTGACATTTTCACCCATCATCGACTATCAAATGTCTGCCATTATTGTACAACGACTGCTCCTGCCTCTTCGAGGACGAGTTCTCCGAGAGCTCCAACGACTAACGCTTCAAAAGAAGCCGACTAACTGGCTTGTAATTTTTCTGTCGAGCTTCATCCAGCTGCACAGCTACGAGCTTCTTATGAAACAACAGAGAAATTTTGCTTTGAGGCGGAATGCACCTGTAGGAATCCTTTCTTAGAGAAGAAAAGGTCACCAAGAACGACGCTAACGTGACTCTAGGTTCGGTACTCCAACATGAGTCTTGTTCGTAGCATCCACGCCGGTGCGAAGACAATCCTGGCTCATTTCCACTACCTGAACAAAGGCCAGGCGCCCTTTGAGCTGGACTGGAGCTTGCCCGAGGTTCCGAGAGAAGTGGCCAAATCGCTGAGCTGGACACAGACAAAGTGAAATTCATCCGTTTTATCGTGGGTGAAGTGCGTAAACAAGGTAAGTGAGCAGAGTAGATTTCATTCATTCAGCAAATATTTGAAGCGAAATAGCTCACATTATCATCATGTCTTATAGCAACCCATTTCGCATCCCTTACGGCTTGTCACATCTATGACACCGACCATTGGTTTACAAGTCAGTTGTTTGTTTCTAAATGGACACCGCCAGACACGCTCGAGCATTCGCCACCTGCATAAATTGCTGTATCGAACCGGTCGGGGTAAGCCCCGTCGGGCAATGGGATCACCGTCGCCAGTGGGCGGTGACGGGCCGCAAGAGCGAGGTTAGATATACTAAAATGGTCCTATAGGTCTATAGTTTATAGTTTATTGTATGTATGTACAAATGGTTCAGATTATAACCTTTCTTCCTGCTCCCCGGGTCATCATTATTATAAAACTAGGATGTCAGTATTGTTATAGTGAGACATTATTTAATACTCACGACTTTCATTGCACAGCATGTGTCATTGGATCGTGTTTTATTGCAGCCGGCTATTTATTCCTGTGCTAAGACATAGCTTGTATTACTCCAACTGTTTCATATGTTTCCTAAAATCGAACCTACACCTTCGGCAGAGTCACTCGCAACGCCCGTGGCGAGACACTGACCGCATTGCCTGTCGCATTCAACTCGAAGAGAAATTCATCGACGCCAACACTGCCGTAGACCAGGCCATCCACCTCCGCCCAGGTGAAGCACGCTTGCGTAAACGGTCCGATACCCCCCGACGAAAGAGGCTGGATGACGGCTCGGAACGAGATTCGGGATGATGATGGGTCTTGCAGTCCGGTCGGATAGAGTCGAATGCTCAGATCCTTTGCTGACGTAACACCATACGGCACCGCCAACGAAGCGAACATATCGGTCGAGTTGCTGATCCACCGGTCAACGTTCAGCCCCGGTCCATCGTCCACGGTGATGGTGATAGATGAATTGAGCCCGGACGTCACGGCGTATGTTCCACTGAAGGACCGGTTTGCCTCTTCCTTGCCTGCTTGCTCGAGGGCTGGAATGATATTGGCGGCGATGATGTCCGAGAAGATTAACGGGATGGATGTCGAGTCCCCTCCCGCAGCGAGGATGGTGAAGCCAACGTTATAATCCGGGATCAGGGCTGTAATAGCCGCGTACACTCCTACATCGCCGCTCTTGGTGTATAGGTCGACCGTGCGGCCGCTTTCTTGGAAGGAGAAAATCTCCCATGGAGCTCCTACCCCGGCGCCCAAGGAAGTCGAATAGGTCGCAGGCTTCATCCACCGTCTCGTCAGGGCGGGAGGGAGCAGGGTATTGCTTAGGATGGCGCGGCCCAGGGTCGACATATCCTTGGTGGACGAGTAGATAGATCCTGCACTGGAGAGGATGTGAGCAAAAGTATGAACTGCCTGAAATTTCTAGGAACAACAAAACTTACGGCCCTTCATCCCCGAGGTCTAGATTCCATCCGCTGGCAGTGTCATTAATAGGGATGACCCCATACTTGTCGTCTGGGGTGGTATAACTGGAGCGGCTCAGGTTGAGCGGCCGGATAATATCCTCCAACAGAATCGAAGCATAGGTCTGATTGGCGATGTCCTCAAGAACGTATCCCAGGATTTGAAACGCCGCGTTCGAATAGATGGGAGTCGATGAGGTGGGGACCACCGGATGTCTTTTGAGCAACCCCTGAAAGAACTCTACGTTCAGTTTTCCAGTTAGTTTGTATGGTCTGATGGATTCATTCATGGATAGAACATACGAGCCCTGTCGCACGGCGTCACACCACTGCACGGCGGGATTTCGGACGGTGCAAGTGGCGGCAAACCAGGTATTGTCGAACCTGAACCTGGAAGTGATGTATCGAAAAAAGCGTCTGCAGAAGAAGATTTCAGCAATGGACTGGGAAGCAAAGGACTAGGGACTACGAACAGTCTCGGGCCACTCCAGCCAGCTGGCTCGCCAACTCCCCAATCGTCACCTCCTCCCAGCGCACAAAGTCAATCGGATCCTGCCTTTCCGTTGCATTTCCTGTAATGTCTGCTGCAGCGACGCGCAGTTCGGTGATATATTTGGTGACTGGGTCATTGAAGCTCCCTTCGTCACGGGCCTCGATGAGGTAAAGGAGGACAGTCCATAGTTTGGAGAGACTGCCAATCCGAAAGACGCTATTCTCGTCTACTGTCTTGACGCCACTGGTAGCATTGGCTAGAGATGGCGCCGTGTAGTAGTACTGGAACAGAGGTTCGGGCTCGTTGACAGAGAAGACCTCGACGGTGAAGGACGTCTTATTGGCATCAAAGAAGACTGAACCAGTTGCTGAGGAGTTTCTTCCTGGTTGTGCATAGTTGGTAAGCACGTTGGTGATGTTTGCTTTGGCCGTGGCAAAGGCTGCACTGGTTGACAGGTTGGTTGGAGCCGGATACGCCGGTCCTAGCAGTGGGCAGTAATTAACATTGGTGAGTCCTTGTGCTGCTGTGACGAGAACGGCAAGAAAGATGGCAAGCGATGTCAGAACTGAATCCATATTCTGTGAGCAGTCTACTTGCTAGACAGCCTCCAATGTCTCGGAAAGATGGTAGTCTGCATAATAGTGAGGGTGAGAAAGTATTGAAGTCAGAGGGAACTGGGTAAAGTGAGTCATATTGCATGCACATTTCTCCTGCTCTAGTATATTTAATTCACCAGTTCGTTCCTTTATGTTGTCAGCTAAGGCTGTATATTCACTGCCCAACAGAGAGAGTACATAATTTCCAATAGATATGCCATTGGTCAGAGACAAAGTAATCAGCGTAATTTCCGGCAGTCGCCGACGCGTCTTTTAAATCCAGCCAGTACTTTCGTTACACAACCAAATGAAAAAGCTTGTTATCAAGAAGGCAGGATCTTATTCGCCGTGGAGGCATTAAAACGAGGTCCAATTTAACTCCCTAGGCTGCAGCAATTATGTACTGTGCAACATCCCTTGCGTTACAGTGGCTTAAAGGGGAAACAATGCAAGCCAAACCTAGTTAAAGAAGCAAAACTGACTTCTCCTAATGATAAGCGAGGAAGCCCTCCAAGACATAATAGTGTATCACAAATAGCTAATATTCTTCTTGCTAGTGGAGTTAATAAGAATCACTGTTACATTCGTGTACAGATCTATACCTCGGTGGATATCCAAATCTTGGAGCCTAGGGCAATTTACATGCGGGACGAAGGAGTGGAGAACCGTTGTAAGCCCCGCTTAGCAACGTTATCAGAATTATGTTGTTGGTATTTTGTGGCGGAGTGTAGCGAGCTCGATTGTAGATATCTAAGTAATCAATGTTTTGGAGCGTTTGCGTACATATTAATTTGAGGTGAGGATGACTCCAGGATTTACTTGATTAGGTTAGAAATAAACAAAATTATCTATTTTAATTCCAGCAATCCCTAACTACGGCGGCATATGTTAATCTTTGTGCCAAGCGAGTGAGTGGGGCGGTACAAACAGCGTACAGTACGGAGTAAAGAAAACGATCGACCGTGCATGTCACTCGCATGTCACTTGCATGCAACCCCCATTAAGCTCCTCCCAACTGACCAATATCCTTCATGCTTGCTACGGATTTCTATTTTTCTCACCCGAACCTGTGCGATCTGGCGTCTTCACATACGGCAAGGATGGCATCCAGGCCAGCGGCATCTCTCGAGCGCCCCTTTCAGAATTGAGACTGCTGTTTCGCAAAAACGCCTCTGCTGCTCGTGTCCGTGCTGCGACAAAGCCATGGATCACGGCGCAGTTGCAGCTCTACGGTATCCCCTTCAAGAAGTCGGACAGCGCCGCTCAGCTGCGGGCCGCGTTGGAGTCAGCTGTGAAGACTGGAAAGGTGAGTCGAGCGACCTCGTCTCGTTTGTTGTCGCTGCACACTTGAGTAAATTGAACTGTTACAGTGCAATACTCCCGGGCCGTCCATCGCCGCGTTGGAGCAATCCTTATCGGAGCAGTACCAGCAGCGGCTGAAGGCCCACGAGAAGGAGGTCGATCGCTGGCGA